ATGGAGAAATCCTGTCTAGAAGAGCTATTAACTTCTTAAAATACAAGAACATTGTGTTTCACGTGGTTCAGCTATAAATTCAGTCAGTTTTGACAACATAAAGATTAGAATGAGGTCTGCTAAGGAATCCTATAATTTACCCTGTCCTTTAATCCTTGTGGCTGCCTGTTGGAAAGAATGGAACATTCAAGGCTTTCAAACTCCTGTTTGTCAGTGAAGCCACATCTTGAATTTCAGCCCATTTTGAACGCTAGGATGAATTGGCTGGTGAGAAAATAACAAACATAAACATCCCATTTGTCACATAATTATGGATGAAAGCCTTTGTTTCAGAGAGCATCTCAAAGGCTCACTGTGTCTGATAGTTTTTTCCCTTCTCCAGTGTGTTGAATCTTGACTGTGCTCCACAGGGCAGGCTCTTTTTCATACAGTCATTCCAGAATGAAGCCAGAGATTCACACAATCCTTTTTCTATAGCCTTGTGGTGACTCTGAGGAGAAAATGTCAGCAAAATTCTCCCTGTGTCAGATGCATCAGTAAGGAATGCAGTGCTGTCCTCCAAACCCCATACATAAATGAGCCAGATGAGCTAAAAATGCTACTACTACTACTTATATCAGTCTTCAAAGCCTTTTCTATTTATAAGCATTGTATTAACCTACTTTTTGCTTCCAGAATTAGACATTAGCATAACCAAACGTCTGAAGAGTACTGAAATCCAGGAGGGAGAAGATTGCACTTTTGAGTGTATTTTATCCCGTGAAAGCATTGATGGATTCCACTGGACACTGAATGGGAACAAAGTAGAAAACAGTGGACAATTCGAAATATTTAACACAGGTCGAAAATATGTGCTCAATATCAAAGGTGCGACTCTTGCTGATGCTGGAGAAGTCATTTTCACTGCCAGTGGTCTAATCTCCAAGGCCTCTCTCGTTGTGAAAGGTAAGGAGATCAAACTGATTCTGGGGATCTAGTGTTTTCTTTTCATAGCATATCTCAGTAAGCCTTGAGGGCAAACTCCAGGTGTGATGGAAGTGAATAGCAAACTTCCTGTGATTCCAGAGGCAGTGAGAATTTCCTTGCAAAATAAATGAAACACTGAAACTTACTGTATATACTTGAAGACTTGCAGAATGCATTGGTTAGTGCTGCAAGGGCATGTGTCTACTTCTACCTCCATTAATAATAGATCAAGAATGATCTCTTTGAAAACCTGTAGAATCACTACTGGCTATAAAGGGGTTGTGCAATGAGCACCCCCACACTAGATATCGTGTAGATGTCTGTCTCTCTTGAGGTAAACCTACCCTAATGCACTCTTTAGTAAAGATAAAATGACAGCTTCTGGCGTGAATGCCATCTAGGCAAGTGTGCAACTCCTGTAGATGATCACTGCTGTTCACTGAGAGCCCATAACTGCAAATAATAAGTACTAAACAAGAACAAATCTTTTTTTGAAACCAGCAAGTAACAGCCACTTTAACTGTTAAAATAAATTGTTTTGTTTTAAGAAAGACTTGGTCCATTTTCATAGTTTAGTACCAGCAAGCGGGTGCTATCTACTGTCCTTGGCTTCAGATGAACTTTCCTGGCCTATGGCAGCTGAGAATCCAGACTTTATGCTTTCAAAAGCTATTTTAAATCCTCTAGAAAGTGTCATAAGCAATGAACATGGCGAGATGCAAGTGTAATAACTTGCAATTCTAGACCTAGGGGGCTTCTGTCTGAGTGACCAGACAGGCAATTTTGGTTCTTCACCATCTCTGTCTTCTGAGCTGCAGTCCCATCTGGGCAAACGGTGCTCTTAATGGAAAGGTCAATGGTGCTCAAGTGCTCAAACTTACCATGACACTTGGCTACAGCTGAGAACTGAGTCACCGAAGTACTTTAGGCTGTTGAAAACAGGTGTCAATTGTCAGTATATCTGCTTTTAAGAATCCACTCCCATCCAAAAACAACATTAAAGCACCTTCTTCTGAGATAGATGATGATTAATGTAAGTCAGCACTGAGAAATTAATGTGAAATGCTGCCTTTAGACCTGTTTCGTGGTGGCTCTCACATGAAGGGTCTGTACGTGACTTCTCTCACATGAGCTCCAAAATTTAGCAGTGCCTGGATATTTGTACTGTAAGCAGATGAATTGACCATTTCAGTCCTTTTTGTCTCTTTCTGTGTGTCTTTTTGTGTCTTTTGTGTGTGGTCCCAGCCATTCCAGTAGTCTTTGTAAAAAAGCTCCAAAACGAGGAAGCCAAGGAAGGCTCTACGGTAACCCTCCATGCCGAGCTCTCAAAACACGATGCACCAGTGAGATGGAAAAAAGGGTCCATCTTGCTCCAAGCCAGCAACAAATATGAAATGAAGCAGATGGGCTCTACTGTAGAGCTGCTCATCCACGACCTACAACTGAAGGATGCTGGGGACTACATCTGTGATTCTGGAGATGAGCAAACTACGGCATCCTTATCAGTGAAAGGTGACAAAAGGCTTCCACTTCACCTTTTTGTAGCTTTATGTTGGTTTAAATTTTCCAAAATGTACATATCAAGGACGTGGTGACAGAGAGACTGGTCCCATTCTGTGATGACAATTTCCTAGTCAACTATGATACAGTCTGACAGGCTAGGTCTGTAGCAAATTCGTCTGCCAAGGCCTCATTTTTCCACACCCTGTATTCCCTGCAAATAGTGTGTAATGATACTTCCCCATGCCCAAATACTCAAGACTTAAAATATCGGGTGTAGGCTTTTGAGTTCTGGATTCTGGTCCTCCAAATGGCTGACCTATTTGGAGATGCAGGCCCTGAGATGCTTCAGAATCCAGTGGTTCTGTATGGCTCCTCAATAAAGTGGAACTTGTTTCCAGAGATGCTCAGGGTGTGCCATGCCCAGAGGTTGGTGGGAAGTGCCACGTGTTTAGTACTCCTGGAAATTCAGCACTTCCTATCATTCCCCGTTTGGGTTTGAAGGACATTGAGATTTGGAATGGTGCTACAATTTTAGTAAATGTACCATGTAGGACTTCAGCAGCCTTTCTCCTTACTGATACTAAAGACGATAGCAAATTAGTTCTCTTGGTATGGACAGAAATTAACATTCTGTGTAGAAAACTATTCATAATTTCAGAAACAGGGAGGGAAAACAGCAAATCAGAGTACATCTGTGAAGCAGGATCAAGTTCCTAGTAGTGAATTGGTGAGATACAGTCAGCAATAAAACTTACAAGTATTCCTTTGATTGTGTTGGTGTAGCTTTGCCGGTGACCTTTACAAAACCACTCCAGAACACGCAAGCAGAAGAAGGAGATACTATCACTTTGAGCTGTGAACTCTCAAAACCAAAAGCCACGGTGCAGTGGAAGAAGGCTGGGGCAGTGCTGAGACCAAGTGACAAATACATAATGTGCCAGAAGGGTTCTGTGGCTGAGCTGACGATTCACAACTTGAAGCAAGATGATGCTGGAGACTACCTGTGTGACACTGGGGACCAACAAACCTCTGCGTCTGTGCTTGTGAAAGGTGAGGATTCAAGTGGGAAAGGGCTGAAGAGTGTTTGCTACCATGAGAGTGACACATGATTTAGTAAATTAACACCTAGAGAGGCATAAGAGTTAGACCTCAAGTCGATGATTCTGTGATTTAGCATTAATATCACCCAGTGCACTCTGATGTTTCCATAAGACATATATTGCCTGTAAATGTTGTGAATTAAATATTTCTTCTAGATGCACATAGTACAGTATAGAATGCATATGTTACAGTATCACATCTAAATAATATATAATACATTCAATGTGTATGTGCTTTATATGTGTGTGTATATGTGTATATGCATGTATATATGCACACACACACACATTATACGTTGGAAAATATGCTACATTACAAATTAAGCATGCCTGTACAACAGTGTTTAGTGCTTTGTGGACATTAATTAATCTCCCTTTTATGATGCTTTTGGATCATATTTGCTTATGTATCAAACTTTGAAAAATAACTTCCATTAACCTTTCTGAAATGATTTTTAAAATGGGCCAGAAAATAACTTACATTATTGCTTCTTCTATTATCTACTTCAGAGTATAGTTATGGACATAGAAATTAAAGTAGATCTGTAGATACATAGATATAAATTAATCTTATTTTTCAGTGATGTAAACATATGAAGATATCAATGTGATACCATTTAGGGGGGCTAGTGCTTCCTCCAAGCTTTACATTTAATCAAACTGATGATATATTTTTACTCTTTGTTGTCTTAAAAACTCAGTAAGTCCTTAAATGAGGCCCAACGTGTTCCCCAGAGAGTCTGCCAATGATATATTTTTCTTGCACGTTAGAAAGTGCTATCATGTGTCAGGACTGATCCTGGAAGCATTGGAACAAGCTGAAGTGACATGAGAGTTGCCCTGGCGCCTACACGCAGTGCCAGAATTGCAGGGTTGCATGCATGAAGCCCTTGAGGTGGCCTGTGACCCAGGGGAGATGGGGGGGAAGTTTCAGGTGTGTCACCATCCCCTGCATCACCGCTGTGTTTGCTCTCCATTGCAGCTAAACCAGTGCTGTTTAAGGAGGAGCTGAAAAACGTGGAGTCCAAGGAAGGGGGAACGGCCGTCCTGCACTGCGAGATCTCCAAGCCGGATGCTCCTGTTGAGTGGAGGAAGGGTGGCAAGGTCCTGGAGCCCAGCGACAAGTACGAGATGAAGCTGAAGGGCAGCGTCGCTGAGCTCATCATCCACGGTGTGGAGCCTGGTGACGCTGGGGCTTACACGTGTAGCACTGAATCCGCAATCACCACGGGTTCTGTGCATGTGCAAGGTAAGGTGGAATGTGACAGAAATGCTGTGATTTCTCTCCCGAAATTTCTCATCGGAGTTATCTTGATAGTAGCCGAACAAACCCACATCAGAAATGTGTCTCTTTACTGTTGTAAACAAGTGCTTTCTGAGTAAATGGTAGGCAAAATACTGAATTTCATATTTTGGCAGGTTATGGCTTCAATATTTATTGATATTATTATTAATCCATTAAAGCAGTATAAATAAATACTCCATTGAAACTTTACGCTAGTTTTGTGCCTCTGACTTTATGTAATGTCAATGTAGACGACTGAAATGCAAAGTAGAGCCAGGTATGACCTAGTCATGAGTGTCCTTTTAATGAAACAGTGCTGGACCTACAAACATGCTTCATTTGCAAGAGAGTAAAGGATGAAAGGGATTTTTTAAATCCCTGAAAGATAAGTAAGGTCTTCTCTTCTTCCCTGGACAAACTTTACAAGTTTAATTTTTCTGGAAAACTTGCCCTGTCTCTTGGTTTCTTTCAGTGGGAAGGAAGATGTATATATTTATGCTTTTGTTTTCCTTTGGCACCTTGTTTTGCTCTGTTGTACAGAAGAAGCAGCAGTCATAGTTACAGAGCAAAAGAACATATACGTTTTTGTGGGTGAGCCAGCCACATTCACCTGTGAGCTCTCAAGCCCAGGCTTGAGGAACCTACAGGGGTGGCTTGATGGATCTTCCCTTTACAACAAATTTGTGATAGAAATCTGAGCAGGACGGGACAGTCCACACTTTAAACCCAAAGAACATGCAGTGACTCAGACACTGTCACCTTCTGAGCTGGGTCCTTCTTATCTTCGTCTAAATTATTAATCATAAGTAATTTGTTCTTAGCAAGACACAAATGGTGCATGCTCAATGTGTTAGTGCTTCTGCCTTCATGGCTACCCTTGAATGTTGTGTCTTAGATACTTGGTTCAATGTGCACTCAGTACAGAATAGTCATATGTAATAGTATATTATACATGTAATGTATATGTGGTTAATGTGTGTGTATACACACACACACACAGACACATTAGGCATCTGTAAGTACACAACATTACAAATTAAGCATATATGTACCATGTTTAATCCTTTGTGGATGTTGGTTCTTTCAAATAATGTTGTCAAGAATGAGCATAGCAAAGTGATTAATTCAGGATAGCAACAAGACTCATTTGAAAGCCTTTCTCAACCTCTCTTGACGTGTCCACAAAGAACCAGAAGTAACCATTGTGGAGAAAATGAAGGACCTGACTGCACAGGAAGGAGAAGATGCAGTGTTTGAATGCAAGCTGTCCCGGGAGACAAGTGAAGAGAGCCAGTGGTTCCTGGGGGACCTTCGCCTGCAGAGCAACGAACTGACTGAGATCAGAGCTCAAGGGAACGTTCACACCTTGGTCCTGAGGAAGGTGACCCCAGAAGACAGTGGAGCCATCCGCTTCCAAGTGGGGCAGCAAAGGGCATCGGCACATGTGAGAGTGGAAGGTGAGCAAGGCCTGGGCAGCAGGTAGAGGAGGTGCTGGTGAGCCCTCCCACTCCTGCCTTGGTTCCTGGAGAGGTGTGGGATGGAGGGAGGAGGAAGGGCATCTTGCAGCAAGGTGTGTTGAAATCAGTGCACAAGAATATGTCAAAAACATGCTCCAAATTAATCTCCCATTTATGATACTTTTGGATCATATTGGCTTATTTGTCACAGATCCTGGCAAGAAAAATCCATTAGGCTCTATAGAATGATTTAAAAAAATTAAACAGTCGTTTAAGAAAAAACAATGAATATTAAAAGTATATCTGTAGCTACATAGATATAAATCCTATTTTTCAGTGGTGTAAACAAATCAATGTAATTCCATTTAGGTGGATAGGTCTTCTTCCAAGCATCACATTTCATTAAATCATTGATGTATTTTACTCCTCGTTGATTTAAAAGTGCAGTAAGTCCGTAAATGTGATCCAAACTCTTGTCCAGAAAGCCAACCAATGATATATTTGTGTTGCACATTTGAAAATGTTATCATGTGTCAGGAGTGATCCTAGAAGCATTGGGAAAAAATGAAGTGACATGAGAGTTGCCCTGGCACACGCATAATATCTAAAAATTTTTGAGGTGGATACATGATGCCCTTGAAATGGCCTGTGGCCCAAGGGAGATGGGACAAGGTGCAAGCGTGTCACCATCCCCCGCATCACCGCTGTGTCTGCTCTCCATTGCAGCTAAACCAGTGCTGTTTAAGGAGGAGCTGAAAAACGTGGAGTCCAAGGAAGGGGGAACGGCCGTCCTGCACTGCGAGATCTCCAGGCCGGGTGCTCCTGTTGAGTGGAGGAAGGGTGGCAAGGTCCTGGAGCCCAGCGACAAGTACGAGATGAAGCTGAAGGGCAGCGTCGCTGAGCTCATCATCCACGGTGTGGAGCCTGGTGACGCTGGGGCTTACACGTGTAGCACTGAATC